TTGTGTACCTTTATAGGGCTGATGAAAAGTTTCAAGTTTGGTGTAAAAAAAAAAACTATACCAAGAAATAGATTTGTAGCTGTGGGTGACAGTTAATAAAACCTCTGCCCTGCGGAAGGAACTGCGTATAGGAGCTGGTGAACAGGAAAGTGTATTCAAGTGTTAAAGCAATTCACAAAGATTAGATTCCACTTTACACTTACTGATAAGGAAATTGGATCCTGTTAGGCTCCCTCCCCCAAGACTATGCCTGTCCTCCTCCTCTTCTATTGGCTTTTGGAATGTTTGGTGGCTATTGAGGAAGCGCACAGAGCAAAACAGACCAGAGCCATCAATGTAGTTGTTTTTGGTTACAATTTATAGCAGGAATGGGCCAACTTGGGCCCTCCCTCCAGGTGTTTTGGACTTCAACTTCTACCATTCCTGACAGCCTCAGGCCCCTTCCTTTCCCCCCTCAGCCGCTTAACACAGCTTGGAACTGCTTCTTGCTGACATTCCTCCATGCTGTGGAATCCTGGGAATTGTAGTTTTGCAAGGTATTGAGCTTCTGCAAACTACAACTCCCAGGATTCCATAGGCTTGGAAGCAGTAGAACTAACACAGCTTGGAACCGCTTCTAACTGCCATCCCTCCATGCTGTGGAATCCTGGGAGTTTTAGTTTTGCAAGGTATTGATTGAGCCTCTTCTGCAAATTACAACTCCCAGGATTCCCTAGGCATGGAAGCAGTAGAACTAACACAGCTTGGAACTGCTCCAAACTGCCATCCCTCCATGCTGTGGAATCCTGGGAGTTGTAGTTTTGCAAGGTATTGAGCCTCTTCTGCAAATTACAACTCCCAGGATTCCCTAGGCTTGGAAGCAGTAGAACTAACACAGCTTGGAACTGCTCCAAACTGCCATCCTTCCATGCTGTGGAATCCTGAGAATTGTAGTTTGCAACGGGCGCACCCACACTGTGGAATGACTGTAGTTTGACAATGCTTGTAATTTCTATGGCTCCGTGGAGTCCTGGGAGCTGTAGTTTTCTAAATTCTTGAGCCTTCCCTGCATCTTCAGTGCCTCACCAAACTACAACTCCCAAGATTCCATAGGCTTGGATGCAGTAGAGCTTGGAACCACTCCTAACTACCATCCCTCCATGCTGTGGAATCCTGAGAATTGTAGTTTTGCAGCGCACGCCTCTACACTTCGGAATAACTGCAGTTTGACAACACTTGTAGTTTCTTTTTTTTTTTTAAATGATTTTTATTAAATATTTTATAAAACAGGACAACGAAAGAGGGGGAACAATAAGAAGAAAATAGAAAAGTAGGAAAAAGGAAAAAAAAGGACAAAAAAAAACGACAAAAAAAAGACTAAACTAACCTAAACTATTCTAAAATGACTTCCACTCCAACATCAGGATCTTTTCCATCAACTTCTTCTACTCGTCTATTCTTATCCTCTAATATTTTTCTAAACACTTGTAGTTTCTATAGTTCCATGCTGTGAAGTCCTGGGAGTGGTAGTTTTGTAAATTATTGAGTCTTCACTGCCTCATCAAACTACAACTCCCTGGATTCCATAACATTTACTCAAGGCAGTTAAAATGGTGCCAAACTGCATTCATTCTATAGGGGAAGTCTTGTTGAGTTCCATCCATTGGGAGCAAACTACAGCTCCCTACGTTCCATAGGATTGTGGGCATCTATTCCAGCCAGACGGGATTCCTTTCCCAGGGACCACTTGGGTTGGTGTGGAGCAGGCTTGGGCAAACTTGGGCCCTCCCTCCAGGTGTTTAGGACTTCAACTCCCATAAGTCCTAACAACTTAAAGGAAAGGACCCGAGGCCGTTAGGAATGGTGGGAGTTGAAGTCCAAAAGACCTGGAGGGAGAGCCCAAGTTGGCCCATTCCTGCTGTAGATGCGCCCTAAGTTGCTATTGCAAAATCGGTGGCAATCCCTTGGCGTCTCTCCCTTCCTCCAGCATTCACGTTCCAGCCGAGTTTTTTTTGCCCTCTAGGAATCCGTCTAGTTACCGCTCGCTCGGTCTGTAACCTAAACCGAGCTTCCATGGGTCACGTGACACAATGCCCCCCTCCCCTCCCTTCCCTATTCCTCGCTCCCAGCCAATCATATTCCCAGCCTGTCCCAGCTAAGTGCTCTTGGCTTTGGAAGCCTTATGTTCCAAATCGGAATGTTGGGACAAAGCAGCGGGCGCTCTGATTGGCTGTAGGAAGTACGACGGAGGGCTGAAGGAGTCAGCCTGCGGGTTTTCAGAGCGCGCTTTGCCTTCTTAAAGGGCACGTCCCGAATTTCCTATAACTTAAGATGTGTTTTTAAAAATCACCTTGTTTTAGAGGTTTTTTTAAATATATAGAACACAGATATCTATTACTGAGATACACAAAGTATTATGCTATTGTTGTTGAAACTTCAAATATGATGTCATATGACAGATTTATTACTTATATGCACAATATAGAATAACAACTTCTCTTTATCGTGGATAAATGCCCATATTCATGTAGATAAACATAATAGTCCAATTTGTCTGATGACTGAAAGAGTCATTTGTAGATGTTTCAAAGGACTATTAAACCAAAGGACTTTAAACCATCAGACAAATTGGACTATTATGTTTATCTATGAATATGGTCATTTATCCATGATAAAGAGAAATTGCTCTTCTATATTGTGCATATAAGTAATACATCTGTCATATGACATATTTGAGAGTTTATTTTTAAACAAAGACTGGATGGCCATCTATCAGGATATTTATTTATTGTATCAGGAGTGAACCAAGGCTACGGTTACATCGTATTTTTTAAAAAAACACAAAGTTTGAAAACTTGGCATTATATTAAATGTCCTTTGACCTGTAGCTGGCCACTTAGAGTACCTCTGGTGTTGCTATAAGAAGGTCCTCCATTGTGCATGTGGCAGGGCTCAGGCTGCATTGTAATAGGTGGTCTGTGGTTTGCTCTTTTCCACACTCTCATGTCGTGGACTCCACTTTGTGGCCCCATTTCTTAAGGTTGGCTCTGCATCTTGTGATGCTAGAGTGCAGTCTGTTCAGAACCTTCCAAGTCACCCAGTTTTCTGTGTGTCCAGGAGGGAGTTTCTCATTTGGTATTGGCCATGGATTGAGGTGCTGGGTTTTAACTTGCCACTTTTCGACTCTCGCTTGCTGAGTGTCTCTGTAGATCTTAGAAAACTATTTCTTGATTTAAGTCATTGGCATGCTGGCTGGCAGAATGAGTTTAGATTAGACCAGGGGTCCTCAAACTAAGGCCTGGGGGCCGGATACGGCCCTCTAAGGTCATCTACCTAGCCCTCGCTCAGGTTCATCCTAAGTCTGAAACGACTTGAAAGCATACAACAGCAATCCTATCTCATTAGCCAAAAGCAGGCCCACAGTTTCAATTGAAATATTAATAAGTTTATATCTGTTAAAATCGTTCTTAAGTTTAATTGCTGTATTGTTCTAAGTATTTTTGCACTACAAATAATATATGTGCAGTGTACATAGGAATTCATTCATGGTTTTTTGAAATTATAACCCAGCCCTCCAACAGTTTGAGGGACTGTGACCTGGCCCTCTGTTTAAAAAGTTTGAGGACCCCTGGATTAGAGGATCTTCCTAACTGTTGAATCTATGCATGCATTTACACCAGGCATGGGCAAACTTTGGCCCTCCCTCCAGGTGTTTTGGACTACAACTCCCACAATTCCTAATAGCCTAATTGCTGTTAGGAATTATGGGAGTTGTAGTCCAGAACACCAGGAGGAAGGGCCAAAGTCTGCCCATGCCTTTAGAATTAGTGCAGCTCGATCCCACTTTGTAATAATGGGAGTTGTAGTTTTGCAAGCTCTTTATAGTCTTTTCTTCTAAAGAATGTGTGGTGGAGGCTCCTTTGTAGGCTTTTAAACAGAGGCTGGATGGCCATCTGTCGGGTGTGTTTTGAATGCAATTTTCCTGCTTCTTGGCAGAATGGGGTTGGACTGAATGGTCACAAAATCTCTTCCAACTCTATGACCATCTGTCTGGGGTGTTTTGAATGCGATTTTCCTGCTTCTTGGCAGGGAGTTGGACTGAATGGCTCACTAAATCTCTTCCAACTCTATGACCATCTGTCAGGGGTGTTTTGAATGTGATTTTCCTGCTTCTTGGCCGAATGGGGTTGGACTAGATGGCCCACGAGGTCTCTTCCAACTCTATGACCATCTGTTGGGAGTGTTTTGAATGTGGTTTTCCTGCTTCTTGGCAGAATGGGCTTGGACTGAATGGCCCACGAAATCTCTTCCAACTTTATGACCCACTGTCTGGGGTGTTTTGAATGCGCTTTTCCTGTTTCTTGGCCTAATGGGGGTTGGACTGGATGGCCCACGAGGTCTCTTCCAACTCTATGGTTCTATGAATGTTGGCGACCAAACTACAAATTCCGGGATTCCGTAGCATTGAGCCATGATAGTTAAAGCGGTGCCAAACTGGATTAATCCTACAGTGCAGATGCATCCATACTCCTTTTTGTAATCCTCCCAGGATGCAGTGTTGTTTTGAGCCTAACCAGCCCAACCAAAAGGAAAGGAAAGCCAACCCCACCCACTCCTTAAAGTGTAAACACCCAGACAAGCCACTGCGCTCTTTGGCAAAAGTCGACTCCAATATTTTTTTTTTAAATGAGGGGGAGGAAAGTTCCGGCCTCCTATGAGAGCCGCCTTTGTTTTGTTGGACGGCGCCATCCAGCCAATGGGAGCGCAGCGGGCGGGGAAGAACCAATGGGAGCGTGGTGGGCGGGGAGGAACCAATGGGAGCGCGGCGGGAGGGGCGCCGGGCGGGGAAGAGCGGAGCCGAGATTGTTTCCAGCGAGGAAGGTCCGGAGGGAGGGAAGGCGAGAAGGAGAAACGGCGCTCGCGGATTCTGACTGGCTTTGTGCCTCTTCTTTCTCTTTCTGGCTTGGGGATGCTGCCGCCGCCGCCTTCGCTGCCTGCCCCTGGCTGGGGCTGACCCTCAGGAAGAAGAAGAGGAAGCGAGGAGAAGGAGGAAAAGGAGGAGGCCCGCCCGGCGGCTCATGCACCCGCCCCGCCGCCGCCTCCTCCTCGCCGCTGGAGCCCCGCAGAGCTGCATGGACGGGCATGGGGAGGGCGGGCCCGTACTGCGCATGCGCTGAGGAGGAGCCGCAGCAGCAGCAGCAGCAACGCCGCAAACAGCGCCAACCCCCGCCTCTCCTGGGGCTCCTCGTCGGCCTCGGGCTCCTTCTTCACGCAGGTACCGCCGTCCACGATCTCTTTCCCGGGTGTAGATTGTCAATGCGCATTGGCACCACTTTACCCATCTTACGGAATCCTGGGAGTTGTAGTTTTGCAAGGTCTTGAGCCTCCTCTGCCTTCGCAAACTACAACTCCCAGGATTCCGTAGCCCTCGATGCGGTAGAGTTAACGCAACTTGGCACCAAACCGCCAGCCCTTCAAGCTGTGTTATCCCGGGAGTTGTAGTTTTGCAAGGTTCATGAGCCTCTTCTGCAAGCTACAACTCCCAGGATTCCATAGGCTTGGAAGCAGTAGAACTAACACAGGTAGGACAGCTCCAAACCGCCATCCTTCTGTGCTGCGAAATCCTGAGAATTGTAGTTTCGCAAGATCTTGAGCGTCTTCTGCAAGTTACAACTCCCAAGTTTCCGTAGGCTTGGGTGCAATAGCATTAAAGCAGTTTGGCACCATTCCTAGCTGCCTTGTAGTTTTGCAAGGTTTCGAGCCTCTTCAGCCATTGGAAACTATAACTCCCAGGATTCCATAGGCTTGGACGCAGTAGCATTAACACAGCTTGGCACTGCTCCTAACCGCCACCCCTCCATGTTGTGTAATCCTGGGAGTTGTAGTTTTGCAGGGTCTTGAGCCTTTGCTACAAACTACAACTCCCAGGATTCAATAGGCTTGGATGCAGTTAGCATTAACACAGCTTGGCACCGCTCCTAACTGCAATCCCTCGATGCTGTGGAAATCCTGGGAGTTGTAGTTTTGCAAGGTTTTAGCCTCCTCTGCCTTATCAAACTACAACTCCCAGGATTCCATAGCCTTCAATGCAGTAGAATTAAGGCAGCATGGAATCCTAGGAGCTGTAGTTTTGCAAAGCCTTGAGCCTCTTCTGCCTTAGCAAACTACAACTCCCAGGATTCCATAGGTTTGGATTCGGTAGCATTGACACAGCTTGGCACCGCTCCTAACAGCCATCCCCTTGGTGTTGTGGAATCCTGGGAATTGTAGTTTTACAAGACATTGAGCCTTTTCTACAAACTGCAACTTTCAGAGTTCCCTAGACTTGGAAGTGGTAGAATTAACACATCCTGGCACCACTCCTAACTGCTATCTCTCAATGCTGTGGAATCCTGGGAGTTGTAGTTTTTTCAATGGGTGCACCTACACAGTGGAATGAATGCAGTTTGACAACACTTGTAATTTCTACGGCACAGTTTTATGGGATCTCAAGAGTTGTAGTTTAATAAGTTTTTGAGTCTTCTCTGCCTTGTCAAACTACAACTCCTTGGATTCCATAGCATTGAGTCAAGGTAGTTAAAGTGGTGTCAAATCGCATTCATTCTATAGTGGAAGTCCTGCTGGGTTCCATCACATTGGGGGCATCTACTGTGGCTCAAGGTTATGGGATCCTGGGAGTTGTAGTTTTACAGGGTCTTTAGCATTCTCTGCCTCTTTGGTACCTCAGCAAACCACACCTCCCTCCATTCCATAGAATTGGAATCATCTATCATGGCTCAGTGTTCTGGGACCTCAGGAGTGGTAGTTTAATAAGGTCTTGAGCCTTCTCTGCCTCTTTAGTGCCTTGTCAAATTACAACTCCCTGAATTCCATAGCATTGAGTCAAGGCAGTTAAAGTGTTGTCAAATTCCATTCATTCTATAGTGGAAGACTTGCTGGGTTCCATCCCATTGGGGGCAAACTACAACTCCCTATGCTCCATAGGATTGTGGGCCTCTGCCGTGGCTCAATGTTATGGGACTTTAGGAGTTGTAGTTTTACAAATCTTGAGCCTTCTCTGCCTCTTTGGTGCCTCGTCAGACTACAACTCCGTATGTTCCATAGGATTCTGGGCATTTGCCATGGCTCAATGTTATGGGGTCTTGGGAGTTGTAGTTTTACAAGGTCTTGAGCCTTCTCTGCCTCTTTGGTTCCTCGTCAATCTACAGCTCCCTACATTCCCTACACCTTCTCCCTTTAGATAATTCCATACTTCAACTTTTGAAAATATCCCTCGCATTTATAAAATCCAAGAGTTGTTTACATCCTTGCTTGTGGGAAGGTGATAAACAAGTCCCAATCTGTTTTGGAGTTGGTCAAAGATTTCTCCTTGATCAGCAGCACCACCAGCTTGCTCATCTCTGCTACAAGGGTCTCCAGCCTCTTCAGAGCCGTAGCAGTATAAACTGGCGTCAGACTGGATTAATTCTACAGTGTAGGTAGAAAGGAAAAGGGAGGGGGCTCTCTTTTAGACCCCCAAAGGCTTTGCTTCTTTTGGTTTTCTTTTAAATCCCCAGAGGAATCAGAGCCAAAACTGACTAGTTGCGCTACTGGCAAATAAAATAGAATAAATAATGGAGGAGTGTGTGTGTCTTCTGCTACAGAGTTTGGGCTGTTGGCTGGCACCGCTCCCCCATCCTGGCCCTGGCGTGTTTACTAAGGCAGCAGTGCTGAGATCAGGTTTCACTCCTCTTTCTTGCCTTTGCCTCCTCCTCCTCTGGTTTTGCTAAACTGCAGCTGGCGCTAAAGAAGGCGAGGCTTTTCTTCTCCTCCTCCCTTTCTTGCTTTTATAGGAGCTCAACTGGAAGCCGGATCTGGTTTGGGATTGAAAAACAAAACAATTTCCTTGAGTCGGGGAAAGTGGCTTTTACAGGTGCGTCTACACCAGGCATGGGCAAACTTTGGCCCTCCAGATGCTTTGGGCTCCAACAATTCCTAACAGCTGGTAGTTTGCCCATGCCTGGTGTAAATTCACCCATAGATGTAACAGAGTTAGGAGGATTGTCTAATCCAGGGGTCCTCAAACTAAGGCCCAGGGGCCAGATACGGCCCCCCAAGGTCTTTTACCCGGCCCTCGCTCAGGGTCAACCTAAGTTTGAAATGTCTTAAAAGCACACAACAACAACAATCCTTTCTCATCAGCCAAAAACAGGCCCACACTTCCCATGGAAATACTAATAAGTTTATATTTGTTAAAATTCATTTTAATTATTGTATTGTTTTTAAGTGTTTTTTTTGTACTACAAATAAGATATGTGCAGTGTGCATAGGAATTCATGTTTTTTTTCTCCAAATGATAATCCGACCCTCCAACAGTTTGAGGGATTGTGACCTGGCCCTCTGTTTAAAAAGTTTGAGGACCCCTGGTCTAATCTAATCTCATTCTACCAGCCAGCACACCAATGACTTAAATCAAGAAATAGTTTTCTAAGATCTACAGAGACACTCGCTGGAACACCTCAGGAAGCGAGAGTCCAAAACTGGCAGGGTAAAATCCAGAACCTCAATCCATGGCTGATACCCAAATGAGAGATTCCCTTCTGGACACACAGAAAACAGGGTGACTTGGAAGGCGCTGAACAGACTGCGCTGTGTCACCATGAGATGCAGAGCCAACTTTAAGAAATGGGGCCACAAAGTGGAGTCCACGACATGCAAATATGCAGAAGAGCAAACCACAGACCACCTATTACAATGCAGTCTTGAGCCCTGCCACTTGCAGAATGGCAACAGAATGGCAGAATGCACTTCTTATAGCAACACCAGAGTCACCCCAAGTGGCCAGCTACTGGCCAAAGGAGTTGAAGTCCAAAACACCTGGAGGGCTGAAGTTTGCCCATGACTAGTCTACACTCTAGAATGAATACAGTTGAACATCACTTGAACTGCCAGGATTCAATGTTATGGAATCATGAGTGTTAAAGTTTCACAATGGTCTTTATCCTTTTCAGCCAAAGAGGTGGTGCTGTGCCGTCCTGACAAGCTACAGCTCTCAGGAATCCATAGCATTGAGCACTGGTAGTTAAAAGTAGCATCAGACTGCATTCATTCTACAGTGTAGATGCAACTTGCAGTTCTCCGAATTGGAAAAAACAACAAGGGCTGGCGAAAATTGCAACAACTCCCAGTGGATTCTGGGAAGTCGTTTTTTCCAGCCCTTGTTTTTCTGCTCTTTGATACAACTTGATAGGACTTGCCTGTCCTCTTTCCTACATGTTTCTTTTCTCACCTCTGAAAAAAAATCACACACACACATTTATTGTTTTGCTATTGGCCTTAATGTGTTGGATCAGATCTAACCATTTTGGGGAGTGGAAAAAAAAAACACCCTTTCCCTTTGAGTGTGTAAGGAAAGCTTTCCAGGGGCCTAATACCCCCAACCCCAGAGATTTAACTCAGGGTGCATATACACAGTCAAATTAATGCAGCTTGACACCACTTTAAATAACAAGTCTCAGTGCTGTGGAATCCTGGAGCTGTAATTTTATAAGGTCTTTAGCCTTCTCTGCCAAAGAGTAACTGCATTACTTCTACAGTGGAGACCACCATTAGTCTTGAATTGATCCTTATAGGACTGTTGAGGGAATGAGATAGAATTTTGAATGGGTGGCTGGGAAGTAAAAGAGAATGACTCGTTCCCAAACAAGAGTTAGGAAACTTTGTTAAGTGAAGGGAAAATTACCCAATATACCCACTGTTTTTCTTGTCATGCTTCTCCAAGATGAATGAGAGCTGTGGCAGTAAAACTTTTGTTTTCCTTGTCCGCATATTGCTTGTCTGGTGTAGTTTTGCAATATCTTTTATTCAGCTGTTCTGTCTAAACATTTAAAATAATTCAGCTGGTAGTTTAAAAAATGCTTCCTAAAACTAAAATCAGTTATTTTTAAGGGCTGGATGTATAAAGTTAGGCATGTATGTTCTTGGTACAAACACAGAAATCCAGTAGGAACTGTATTTGGATGTATAAAGTGAAGCATTGGGCCTTGTTTGAGGATATTGCGGTCAAGTTATCCTTTTTTTCATTGAGAAATCATGCTGCAGAAGTAACAGAAAACAGTAATAAATCAGAGCAGTCTTCCAGAAGTGCTTGATTCTACTTTTGGCCCAGTATGGCTTAAAATATTTGGAATTATATTGTTCAACTTCTCATAGAGTATTTATGTCCCTCCTCAGAGAAGCAAAGAGACTTCTTGGATTTTAAAGTGTTGTAGCAAAAATCTCTTGTTTCAGTCTGAG